TGCTTGTATATGTAGAAACAAATGGATTGGTGCTTGTATATGTAGAAACAAATGGATTGGTGCTACTTGTGAACAAGGTAAGTGATATGAACTTTACAACAAGCAGTGGTCTATGAACAAGGTAAATCCCACAATGGTGCTTGTATCTGTAGAAACCAATGGATTGGTGCTACTTGTGAACAAGGTAAGTGATATGAAATTCACAACAAGCAGTGGTCTATGAACAAGGTAAATGGTGTTGGGTATGTGTCTGTAAAGGAACAATTTAAATGAAAACCAAATGGACATAAAACTAGATGTTACCTGAGGTTTTTAATGCACAAGTGAGTTTCATGAAGATCATTAATATATTATACTTTCTATGTTTTTCTTTAGGTGGACCGCCTCATTTTTCAAAACTCACTGATGATTCCATACAAGAATTTTAACTATCAGGATGATGCAACATATCTTTCATTCTTTACATTTTTCTTCACTGCCTAGCAACAATCACTACTTCCTGTGTTGTCATGACATTTTTTTAAAAGTTGAAGGAAAGACAAATATTTTTTAATAAATTTCATCCATGGCTAAGAATTTGATATTTTTTATTCACTGTAATCCTTGGTTGCTATAGTAGCATAATATCTTTATTGTTGCCATAGCAATGTAGCCTGCGAATAGAAATAGCCATATATACACAGGCTGTATTAAAACGGCTTAATAAATTTTGGAAAAAGTTAAATATTTTCTTGTATCCATTTCTTGTACTTGTTGCAGTTCGCTGTTGATATATGTATTTAAGCAAAGCAATATTTTCTTTCAAAGTCTATTATTTTGTAAAAGTTTTATCTATTTGTTACTGTGTACAAATATACCCATAATTTTGAGTTTGCACCAAGTAAGGATATATAGCATTTTTACTCAGTCTTGATTGTATGTACTAAGAACCAATTACATTTATTGTCTTATCATGTTGTAGTTATGTATGCATGCATCATTGTTCATACATACGGAGCATTCTGATTGATTCATGGTCTGTTAACCAGTCATTTAGTCTATTTTGCGGGTATCTGGCAATGCATTATGGGTGTTTCTCAATGTACAGTGTGTTCTGGGAAATCTATTTAATTTATGACACATGGTAGCCCTTCATTACATGGCACAAACATTTTATGATTGGTAATTGGGGCTTTCATACTGTGAGCAAACTACTTACAAACAATGACACCTGTGTGTGCGTGTCAAATTTCACCAACAAGGTCTTGCCACTGTGACAATAGATACTTGCGAACAAAAACAATATAGTTTATGAATGTTCCAGAAAGGTAAGTAAGTGGCAATTTAGAAACATTTTGTACACATGGTGGAGGTAGAAAGCATAAAACTGTCATTATGTTAGATACATATTTTTTATCTCATTCTAAGCCAGACTGGCATTATTCAAAACAAGGTGCTATAAACAAAAATCAATTTATTTTCCAGCAAAAACGTTTCAGACCAAATAAATTATTTTAATTATTCAGACTGTCAATCTCTATGATAAAATAAGTTTATTTACTTCTTACTGAGTAGAGTAGAGTACAAGTTGGCAAGTCCACACACTACTAAAATATTTCTATATAATATTTACGCACACAGGGTTTTGCCTATTACACAGACTGACAACCTGTAGTTGAAACAATGCATTGTATTTCTATTATGTATTAGATGTTGTTTTTAAAATACCTCAGACTTATACTCACATCATAACAATTTAAGATATAATTCAAAAGTGGATAAAACCAATGGAATACAACTGCAATAACATAATGAGGATACTATTGAAATTATGTAAAGTCACACCTGTTGTCACGGTAATATTTACCAACTTTTTGAGTATTTTGTGAAAGAACATGTAAAGTTGAAATTGCAGGAGGTAGTTTTATTAAACACGTTGAAGGTGATATTTACTGCAATGTTTTCAGTCCTTGTATAATTAATGATAAAGAAGAAGTACACGTTGCTAAGCAACCAATATTGGTTAATTATGTTTCCTATAAGGGCATTGTGAGTGTCACATGATACAAGTTTATTCAAAGCATTTGATGGAAGAACCTGTCAATAAACAACATGCTTTCAGATTGGCCATTCAGGCACAATAGTGTAAGTCATTTCGATTTAACTCCAACCATTTGAAAACTCTCAGATTTTTGACCATTTACATTCATCCTAAGTCATCAAATGGTGCTGGACTAAAAGTGAACTTAGCAGTCATTACTTGTCACTACTAGTTATTAGTAGTCATTAGCAATCAATGGTAGTTATTGGTAGTCATTACCAGTCAATGGTCATTACTGCTAGTCACTACTAATTATTGGTAGACATTGGCAGTCAATAGAGTTTACTGCTAGTCACTACATTTGTACTAGTTATTACAGTCTTTGAGAGTACAGTGTATATTTAAACCTATAGTTCATTTATATGAACTTCAAAAGTTTATTAAAACTAACTAGACTTTTTCTGGATGGGTGCTATTATTTTTATGAGTAATAGATTACGAGTATGTCTTGCTGTAAATGGTTGAACTCTAGGTGTTTTTCACTGCCAGATGTCGTGTAATGCACACAAGACATGGATTGAACATCTGCCAGAAAAAATCAAATGATTTGATTTTGAACATGTATTTCTTTCATGTTAAGAGTTCAATATCAAAATACCCAATGTTTTAGAAGAGGATATGGTGTTGAGATACCCTTACTTCATCAAAATTATTAAGCATGGAAATATTCCCAAAATAGTATTGTTTACATGATTAGTTGAATCCCACCCAATGTTTTAAAGCGGGGAGTGTTTACCTGCACATAGCCAAACAAGCATCTACCCATGAGCCTTTGTGTTTTTAGCATTTGTTGTTATCGCTTGGAACTCAATTCTCGTGTGTGCGCAGGTGACTACCCTCCCGCTTTAACACTATGACCTTTGATTGTCCTGTTCATTTTCATGCATAATGGATCTTGCAGTGATTGCAAAATGGCTTACTCTGACAGTGGTACACCATCAGTCGGTCAAAGGTTATAAATCTTGGTTCATATTTGTCAGATTGAATATTGTCTTAAATAAATTATGGTAATATCGGTTGCTACTTGAAGACTGATACAGACAGTGTATGCCTTATTTCTTACCAAATCCCCATGACCTTGTTTGGAGTATTTCAAAATAATAATCTTGAAAACTCGTACATAATCAAAAATCAAAATTTGTTAAAGCATATATGGAGGTACGTTTCAAGAACCATTAATTCACAGAACATTGATATTGATATAACAAAAATATTACTGTATTCCACTTTTGAATAACAATTGTTACAATTTAAACAAAACATGAACTTTTTGAATTGTTTTGTGGCCAGTCCATACACCATTACCGTTTTTTAGCTCCGCTGTCGACTTTGTCGAGCGGAGCTTATCATATGAGTGATTGTCCGTCGCCGTCCGTGTCAATGTTTTACTTTTTCAACTTCTTCTTGAAAACTACAAGCCTGAATGCTTTGATACTTGGTGTATATGTACTTTGGGTAGACCTCTTTTAGGTTTGTTCATTTCATGTTGATATCTTCAATTCTTTAATTTTGGTGAATATTTTTGTAATTTTTGGTAAAAAGTGATATTTTCGACTTCTTTTTAAAAACCAAAAGTTCAATTGCTTTGATATTACATATATAGATACTACATGTAGACCTTTCTCAGATTTGTTCATTTCGTGATGACATCTTCAATTCTCTAATTTTGGTGAATATTTTTGTCATTTTTGGTAAAAAGTGATATTTTCGACTTCTGTAAAAACTGTAAGTCCGATTGCTTTGATATTACATATATAGGTACTACATGTGGACCTCTCTCAGATTTGTTCATTTTGTGATATCTTCAATTCTCTAATTTTGGTGAATATTTTTGTAATTTTTGGTAAAAAGTGATATTTTCGACTTCTTTTTAAAAACCAAAAGTTCAATTGCTTTGATATTACATATATAGATACTACATGTAGACCTTTCTCAGATTTGTTCATTTCGTGATGATATCTTCAATTCTCTAATTTTGGTGAATATTTTTGTCATTTTTGGTAAAAAGTGATATTTTCGACTTCTTCTTAAAAACTGCAAGTTCGATTGCTTTGATACTATACATATTGATCATTTTCTAATGATGTCTTCAGTTCTTTAATTGAAATGTGCATTGCTAACAGCGGAGCTATCTCAGCCGAGAGGCTGCTTGTTCAAAACCTAATCTATTGCAGTACATGTTAAGTTTTTCTCTAAATTTTAATACGATTCAGATTCCATTGATGTAGTGCTCAGTCTGTTTACATGGTAGGACTATTATTTCAAGATAATTTAAACCATTTTGTAAATGAAAGAAAGTCCAACAATGTAGAATCTGATGTGTTTGATCAAGAATAGTATCAAACAAAATATTGATATATATATTTCAATCCTGCCTTATAAGCTTACTGGTGTTTTCGCTGTGTAGCAGATATCTCCATACAATTTGTGGGCTAATCTGCACTGGTTCGGAAGGTTGTAAATGATTAGCTAGTTTGAATTTGCATAACAATACTGACAATAAACGCCACAAGTTTTTTTGTTTTTTTAGCCAATCAGAATTCATCTTCCGAGCCAGTGCAGATCAGCCGCAATTTGTTTTTGTTACCGATGTTTTCACTGTGTAAACATCAGACAACTCGTCCTGTCCAGCAGATATCCCAATATATGTTAATGTATTCATCATGCACTTATCCTCAGATGAGCTCTAAGCACATCATTGTTTGATGTGAATAATCTTTGCCAAGACTCGTATCCAATCCTGTGTAGTAGCTATTCCCATATATGTTAACATTTCCAGACCTGTCCAGCAAATATCTCCATATTATTTTTGTTGGTTAACTGCATGATGTTACCACTGTGCAAACATCAGGTATTTTTGTCTGTATTGTTATCAGTAAAATTATTCCTGTTTTACAGATTTGTACTTATATATTTGTGTTTTAATAATGCTTTTATTTTTTATGTTACCAGAACTGAAATAAATGTGCTACTCTTAATAAATTATGCTAATGTGTTTGTAAAAATTATAATAGTGTCTAAAAATATGCATTCAAACAATTCTTTCTAGCAAAAACAATAATCAGTCGACTTGACCAGTGTTGTGCTGGTAATAAAAACACTGAAGTTAACTACATGTGGTGTTGTTTCTATATATTTATTATTAACCAGAAACACATGATGTGCCGTACAAGTGCTAATATCAAAACTATATAATTATACATACCTCAATATAGAGGAAAGCTTACTCACTAAGTGTTTTTCTAGAAAAAAACTGTAAGAGGGAGCACTGCAATTTAGCGGCGCCACTAAGTGGGGGAGATAGGGATCTGCCTAACAGAGTGTGTAGTTTTTGATAATTCTTAGTTA